GAGTGCCTTGGACTGCGAGAAGATCCAACCAGTCCATCCTCCAGGAAATAAAGCCCGACTGCTCACTGGAGGGAAGATACTAGAGACAAAGTTGAAGTACTTTGGCCACATCATGAGGAGACAGGAAAGCCTAGAGAAGACAATTATGCTGAGGAAAGTGGAAGGAAAAAGGAAGAGGGGCCGACCAAGGGCAAGATGGATGGATGGCATCCTTGAAGTGACTGGACTGACCTTGAAGGAGCTGGGGGTGGTGACGGCCGACAGGGAGCTCTGGCGTGGGCTGGTCCATGAGGTCACGAAGAGTCGGAGACGACTGAACGAATGAACAACAACAAAATACTCTTTGAATTGGGTGGCAGCAGGGGGGGGGGGGGAGTCACAAAGCACTAATAGTACCTAGTATCCTGTTTTGTAATAATAATTCTTGGGTAGCCTGCACATATTATGAAAGAAGAATCATTTGAACAAAACTTTAATGAAATTGATTCATCTAAGAATTACACTATAGAAATCAAAAGAATGAGCAGAACCTTTAAAAAATGCAAGTTTACATCTGACCCAATACTAATGAGGAGGGGAGGGCAATACAAGCATTCACATTCCTATTTCACACTCACATAATACATTCCTATTACTAGTATGAAAGGAATACAGGAGATTAAAGGGATATTGTAAATAAGTAATTGTTAACTTTATATTGAACCTCTATTTAATTATTTTAGCATCATACACTTATGTCTCTGAAAATGCTACATAAGGATTGCCAGTTTTGTAATGTTCTATCATAAGTATCAGGGCCATTCTAGCAGCAAGCATTAAGGATTTAACCACCTGGCTAGCACTGAGCAATTTACAGCCAGGGTGGGGTAGCTGAAAGAGTAATAAAGAAACACAAGATTGTCTGTTAGTAGTGTTGGTTGAGGAGCTCTTGTTGTTGGTGAGTTGCTGTTGTCAGAGTGTTGAGCTACTGGAGATGGAAATACAGAAAAGTTGAAGGATGACTGCCGAAGACCAGAGAGAAGAGCTAATACTATGAGGGTATGAACTGACTGGGAATGTAAAGTGTTGGAAAGAAGGGCTGAAGAGAGTCAAGAACATCTGCTAGACTTCTGTAAATGCTACTGTATAAAGTTTTCCACAAAAGATAAAAGTTGTATTTATCTACTCCTTAACCCAGGGGGAGGGGAGAGTGCTTCTGTTGAAGAAGGTTGGTTGGTTGCTAAACAAAGAACCTCAGCCAATTTGCTGCTACAAGGATGACTTGAATGCTTGAACTTAGATATATAGTATCTGGAGGCAGCTGTTATTCAAGAAAAGGGAGATTAGATGAATGATTTCATGGGAGAGCATTTAGGAGGTCTCCAAATTGGATGCCATAGCAATAGGATAAGATGGCTTTATATTGGTAGCAGAGACGCCTAGAGTCTTTCAACATACCTTTCCACCTGGATTTATTTCCCAGGGACAGAGATTACCTCTCCCCACCTCCAAGTGTTCATTGCTCTCTACACCAGTGGTTCTCAACCTGTAGGTTCCCAGATGTTTTGGCCTTCAACTCCCAGAACTCCTAACAGCTGGTAAACTGGTTGGGATTTCTGAGAGTTGTAGGGCAAAACACCTGGGGACCCACAGGTAGAGAACCACTGCTCTACACTTTTCAGGAGCTTTGCATTTTTCCTAGTACTATACAATGCAAATTACTAATAGATGTGAAACTGAAACATCACCCACATACACAAGTTTGTATGATGCCTTGTAAGATTTCCCAAACTATGGGTTACACTTGCGATGTTATCAGATTCTCAGTTCTATCAGGTAATTTGCTGCCACCAAAACTGAAAACTTTCCTTTTACTGCACTGCCAACATCTTAGATAACTGAGGGCCAATCAGGTGTGATTGAACAAAAAATATTCATAGAGGAAGCATATTTTGAAAAAAAAAGTTCACTGAAAGCATGGATTAAAAAATCCCTAGTGGTTACTGTCTACTTCTCCTTGCTTCTTAAACTTGAAAGACTTTCCTCAGACATCAGGTTACTGCCTCCTTTACTGTCAAGTCTCACAACCCACATCTTCCACTTCTCAGTCCAAACTTCACAAACTGTCATTTTTCCTTTCCTCTTCAGCCAATTCTCAGCATATTCCGATAACTGATGTCATTTACTGGCTTCTCTGCAATCACACCTTTTCTCATCCCTCTTTGCAAATCCACTAAACACTGCCATTTTTTCCTGTACCAAAATGCCACATAGTTAAGCATAGCAGGAACCAACAAAAATTGACCTTCTTTCTACTGTAAAAAAGGGAGATAAAATCACTACGGCTGATTTGTAAAAAGGTATCTCACTGCCTTCCTTTGAATATACCTGGCATTTCCCAGAACATCCTGCTTTTAAAAAATAACAAGAAAATGAGGGGATACATAGATGGGCCCTGCTGAGGAAAATGGAAGGAAAAGGGGTCAACCAAGGGCAAACTGGATGGATGGCATCTTTGAAGTGACTGGATTGACCTTGAAGGAGCTGGGGGTGGTGATGGCCAACAGGGAGCACTGGCATGGGCTGGTCCATGAGGTCACAAAGAGTCGGAAACGACTGAACGAATGAACAACAACAAAGGTGGTCCCAAGAGGAAGATTTTTTTTCAGGAACCACAAGCATAAATCCAAACCAGTTGTGTTCTGCAAAATGCCTGTAAAAACATTCAAGTCAAACTGAAAAGATGTATCTCTAGTTCCATGTTTACAAGAACAGAAGTCTGAGAGTAACCATCACACTTCATTGTATTCGCATATCAAAACATCTGTCAACTGTCCTGCCAATAGTTGCCTGCTCATCTTCTTTGTTTGTTTGTTTTGTAGCCAAGGATGACAGATGATCATGACCTATTGAAGGGGAGTAATATAACTCAGCTTTCTACAAAAAACATTTTCTATTTAGTAGCATTGACAGGTTCTCTTTGGATGATCTTGTAAGAAATGTGCACTCACCAAAACAAAAGAACAGGCTTGATACATTAAATTAGTGCATGTTTTATTTACATTGCCCTTCCCTGCCATTACTTTAATATGCAAAATAAAAAGAAGTTTTAATATTCAGCCAAAATATCATCGCATAAAAGTAGGACATATCAAACCTCATAAGATGTTATTTTTTGAGGAGGGGTTAAGTTTTTCATGAATTCAGTTCTGACTGATGGTAAGTATGCACCTTTGCACATAAAACCAATTGATTACATATTTAACTTCTTTAATATAGTTTCGTATTTCCCACGGTAGAATTGGCAAGCTCAATTCGGCATGTTTTATTACTGTTTTAATATATTTTTACATCTTTTGAATTTATTGCAATGGCTTGTGTCTATAATAAACATTTTCATATAGTATTACTATGCCGCTGGTTGTATGCTGTGCAACTTGTAAAGAATGTTTCAGGCATCACTTGAAATATAATTTGGTATACAGCCTTAGAGGAATGCAATGGCAAACCCCCTCTGATCAAATCTTGCCAAGAAATCCCCATGAGAAGTTTGCCTTAAGGTCACCATAAATTGGAAACAGCTTGAAGACACACAAGAAAAACAATATGTACTGAAGGCTCTGAATTGGCTGCCTATTTACTACCTGAGTAAGAACAAGGTTTTGGCACTAGAATGTAAAAAATGTACTTAGGTGATAAACAATCCCATTACACAACCCATTTACTGAAATCTTTTGAGAAGGTACTCCAAGAAGTTCCATGTTGGTCTCAGATGTTTAGAAGTCCCCAAAAATTAGGGTTTAAGTGTTATCAGTTTCCTTTTTATACAATGACCATAAACTTCAGTGTGTGCCTTTGTTGTGTTTTCCCATCCTTGCTTAAAGAATCTTGTCTTCAAATGACTATTCCCTTTCAGATACATTATTCATTTCCTTTACTGTTCAAAAGCATTGATGTGGAGAAACTTACATACATTTTACAGTGGGCTTGACTTCAGCTTTTGGTTCTGCGCCATTAGGAATAACGACACATATTAGGACTATGTTTAAAAAAATTAGGCATCGGCGTGTTGTGTGATTTCCAGGCATCATCCTATTTGTCTTTTGCATTGCTGATTTAATTTTTGAATGTGATTAAAAACTGTCCACCATATTTTATAGACAGGGCCATATAATTGAGGAATGGAAAGTCTTACTGCATCTGAGGCATCATCTACACTGCCATATAATGTTGTTTAAGAATGCAGCTTAACTCCATTATGAAAACGCATTATATGGCAGTGTAGATGGGGCCTTAGAGTAGAAAATTTCAGTTCATTTCTTTAAAATCAGTTTACCAAAATCTGCTGTCATCTTCACAACATGGTACCTTGCAGATAAGAAGTGTCAGTAAAGAGGGAATCATGTCACAAAAGATAGCAAAACTATATTGCCCAATATTTCTAGCATCTGACTTTTACTACAATATGTTTCTATCAGAGCCGCAAAGCTAGTTGGGAGAACAGGCTAAAAACATTTGATAGGAGACCATGATCTTGGTTCATGGTCTCCTATCAAATCCCAAAAAGAAAGGTTTTTGGGCTCTTTAATTTAGAGGGAGCAAAAAATCCCAAATTCTAAATTTCTCAATGTACGGGGGGGGGGGGGTGTCTGTCACTCCTTGGTCATGTATTTGCATGAGTTCTGACATAAATCTTGGCATTAGAAAGGCAAAAACCAAAGAATAGTTCTATTGCATAAGGTCCAGACCAGCATCTTCATTTGTGGGTGTTTTGGTAGAAATCACACAAAATTTGGAACAAATGGCCACTTATTTTTACAACAGATGCTAAGAGGTATGTTATAGTAACATACATATAGCTGCCCACTAACTGTCTTAATGGCCTAAGGAAAAGCCATAAAGATGGCAATTCCAAACATTTTGTGATAGGTAGGGAACACCGGCTATTTCCTTTTAGCTCTCTCACCATACAACTCCTTAAATTGACACTTGTTTCCTGTATTATGAGATGGAGAAAAACCTCCACATTTAAATGTTTATTCTTGTAGAAAATGCACATTTACAGTAGATAAATCCAACAAGTATAAATAAAGCTTCAGTCATTAGATCACTTCCAGTTCAAGTTAAAATAGATAATATTCTGTCTGAACATGATCAAAAATAGTCATTTTGTTTTATACAACAAGCTTTTCATTGTCTAACTGCACTGTAATGAAGCTGGAATAAAACAGCAGTACATTTCACTTTGGTAAACATCAGGGAGTAAAAGATTTCATAAGCAGTAGGGTAAACATCAACCTCTGTTCAATATCACTGTCTCAACAACTTTAAATCTGCTTAATGTTATGTAAGAAATTATAGCAGGTTTTTTAATGTTTTAATTTTTTTTGGGGGGGGGGGAGAACGTAGTCCCATAATTAGTACTAGAAAAACCACTCTGCAGCACGTTGTTCTTAGTTGTAGCTAAAGGGAAAAAGATAAAAATGTGAGAATAAAATTAGAAGGAATATGAAGTGGGTTTCTTGCACTGACATCACTTAAAACTGATTATATAAAAATTATGTAGCACTACTACAACAAAAGGCTTCCTATTACAGTCCAGTGTGAGGGAAATTTCCATCCTATTCCAGAAATTCAGATTCTTCTTGGTAGATACATTTAGGGCTTCAGAGTTTACAGCAGCAATGTTTCAGCAACTGAAACAAACCTTGATATCAGAACATGAGCTGGATGAACTCTGAAGACAAAAGTGCTATTTGTAATGCAATCATTTTCATTATTCAAAAATTAAATATAGTTTTAATGTCACAGAATCATAGTTGGAAGAGACCTCGTGGGTCATCTAGTCCAAACCCCCTGTCAAGAAGCAGGAAAATCACATTCAAAACACCCCCAACAGATGGCCATCAAGCCTCTGTTTAAAAGCCTCCAAAGGTTACTCCACCACACTCCGGGGCAGAGAGTTCCACTGCTGAACAGCTCTCAGTTAGGAAGTTCTTCCTCATGTTCAGGTGGAATCTCCTTTCCTGTAGTTTGAACAAAAATCTTCTTCATCCAATGGAATTGTCGGAGTTCAAGATGTTTCTGTACATTCTGCATGAAGTATAGTATTTTTCTTCCTTTGGGTAAAGCAATTCACAAATAAAACTAGTACACTTTACATTCTGCATGGTGTCCTATTTTGAGGAAAATATGCATTTGATCAAAGATATATATTTTTAAATTTTCCCTTTCAAAATTAAATCTGCATAGTTCCTCCCCACCAACAAAATATCATGAGACCAAGAACTAGGTTGCTTGGACTGTGTTAGAAAGTTGCACGGCTATACAGATATAGGGCCCCTCTTTCTATCTAATCTATTTTTCTATATAAGAAAAATAGTGAAAATTAACCCAATTCCTTATACATTTTTTCTTATTCAAGCTTTTAAAATCTACTTTGCAGATGCAGAAATGTAGATATGTCTTTCATACTGTGACCCACAAGCATAAAAGTGTTTATTTTTTCCATTTTCCAGCTGAATGTGACATAGCCGTAGTCCTGAAAATGAACAGCATAGGGTTTGTTGCTATGGCAATCACCATGGTATCAATACGCCAAACAGCATCATATGGCTTATCCCCTGAGATCTCAACTCTGGAGAGAGCTTAGTCTCTTTCAATGTCATGGGAGGGGGGGATTAAAGATGACTTATATGATTAACAACTAATGAAAAGGGATTATACAGACAAATGCTCTTCTTTTTTAGAAAGGCAAACAATCCTACAGGTGTCAATTTTAAACAGGCAAATAACATGTTGGCAAATATTCTTCAACGGCATCAGAAACAGCGGCAGCAAGATGTAACCCCCTTGAAAGATATTCTGGCATACTGCAGTAAGATTGTTATAAACTATGCAATACACTAACAGAGAAATTATTCCACAAATGTTACCATTAAGAACTGTATCCCTCAGATTTGTCAAGTAGTTAACATTTAGAAAAAAATTCCTTTAAAATGATTTTTTCCCTCACAGATTAAACATAGGTATGAATCTTTATGCAGCACACATGACCAATAAAATGCAATGTCAATTGAAGCCAGAAATATTCTCAAGGTAGGAAACATTATCTTTACAATTATGAAACACATATTTAAAAAGCAATTCAGAGGAATTACAACACATGCCTTTAGTGCTGAGCTATCTATACCAAAAAGAAATTAAATGCATATTTTTCTTTAAAAAAAGTAAGAAATGGTATTGCTCTTTAGAAATGAAAGTAACTATTTTTTTAAAAAAAGCATAAATGGAACATATCCAAGGCATTATCCCAAATAATGGTTTCTAAAATTTAGTTATATTTACAGATGTTACTCCAGGCCAAGAATTCATTTGCTTTCCATATTTTCAAAAAGGAGCATTAGCCTTATTTATTTTGGCAACATGTTCAGATTATTTCTGACTAGAAGTATCAGAAGACAAAACAGGATGGAAAAGCACTGCTTTAATCCAACTGCACTGTGGATCTGTATACATTCCTTAATTTTGTTTCATTTCAGCAGGGAAAATGGAATAAGAGACCTCAAAATCAAGATTCCCAACTATACCTCCTCTCAGCCAAGCAATGTGGATACATGCACGTACAACAAGACAGTCCTCCTCTCTGAAGGTCACGGGTAAATGACTAAATTCAATAAATAAGTCTCTATTTGGAAACGGAATGGGGGGAAAACCTTTTTATTTAAGCCATTTAGTCTTTCTTCTTTTCCAATATAGGCTTCTGTTCTTGCTCGCCATCTGTGTATTCTACATGGCTTTCACCGCTCTCCTCCTCTTGTTCCTCTTCAGTGCCTTCATCTGTCAGACCCCTGCCTGTTTCTCTCTTAGGCGTCTCGGCTTCATCTGATCCACCATCAGTGTCAGTGGTGCAGATTCCGTAACACATGATGCTGATGACACCCAGTGGCAGCCCAAAGAGAAAGCAGCCCAAAAGTGGGGAACTCTTGAAAACAGACTGAGAAGAAATAATTGCCCGTCAGTGATACTTTTGCAGTATTTCAAAGTATCTTGAGAAAGATGCTTTCCTTCCTATTCTAAACATAAAGATCATACCAATTCATATATAATATTTCATTTACATTTCCCAAACTGGTCTGTACTGATATACTTTATTTACAAGTTATCTCTTTCTAAAAGCCTCAAATTACTTCACTTGAAAGTTTAATGGGAAAGCCGGAAAACCATCACTGGAAGCCATGGAAAAGCTTTTGTGCATACATGAATGAGCAAATACCATACTGGCAAATCAGCAAGTTAATACTAAATTGTTAATATCGCCATGACTGTCATTTAATTCCAGGACATAATTCTTTGCCCTTTGCTGCCACCAATAAATTGAAAATTCCATATATGGAAAACAGGAGACAGATGTAATAACTTGATTTGGTATTGTCAGATACTTTCATTACTGATGCTTCAGCAACAAAAGCATCCCAGTTAGTTCAGGAATAATTGGCTGGGTTCATTAAAAAATAAATCCTATGTGTGGAGATATTGGCAATTTGTAAGCTACTCTGAGTCCCCTTTGGGGTGAGAAGGGAGTATAAATATAGTAAATAAAAATAATATCAATACAAAAGTAATATTTTGCCCAAATTTACAAAAAAAAAAAAAAAAAGCTGGTGCTTTGCTATGAATTAATAGCAGTATCTTGCACTGCTATCAATCTTGCTAAAATACCAATCAGTGTAATCATGGACATTCACAATGATATAGTAATAGTCTATACAATGAATACTATTTGATATTAAGGTTAGATTTGAAAGATTCAATAAAAAAGTCTAAGACCAAGCTCTCCATACAGTAGGTATGGCCTACTAAATTTTATTATGATAAATGTAAAGACATTATCTACTAGTCCTGATGTCATATTCTATAAAAAGGTTTCCCCTTGACATGAAGTATAGTCATGTCTGACTCTGGGGAGTGGTGCTCATCTCTATTTCTAAGCCGAAGAGCCGACATTGCCTGTAGACGCCTCCAAGGTCATGTGGCCGGCATGACTGCATGGACCACTGTTACCTTCCCACTGTAGTGGTACCTATTGATCTACTCACATTTGCAAGCATTCGAATTGCTATGTTGGCAGAAGCTGGGGATAACAGCGGGGGCTCACCCTGCTCCCTGGATTTGAACTGCTGACCTTTTGGTCTGCAAGTTCAGCAGCTCAGTGGTTTAACCCGCTGCGCCACCAGGGGCTCCATCATATTCTATAAAAGAATGTTATTTGCAACTTAAGAAAACAAATTAAATATCCAGAATCATGTGATCAAGAAAAAAAATTATGAGTTCACTTGAAGGTTCATCAAGAGCTGTAGTTATTTTACATTTGATGGGCAAACCATCTAAATATATATTTTATTTTACTTACTCCCACAGTTGACTTGGCATCGTAAATTATTCTCTTGATTCGCTGTAGAATTCCATCTCCACCTTGTGCCTGAAATTTGAAAGCCATCAGCACTATTTACTTCCATGTCACTTTTCATTCACCTTTCTCTACCATGTAGCTTTACTAGTGATGTATTTCAAAAAGAACATTTCTTCTGAAGAAGAAATTGCCTTCTGGGGGTATGATGTTCTGTATCTCTTTATATTCATATTTATTTTAAATATGGTCAGAAAAAACTGCATTCCCTCCTTCTCAAAGAAAACTCTTTTAACCCACCTGTAAAATGATTCTGCCCAGAAGTAATATGCTGCTACTGCTGTTTCCATGGTGTTGCTTTTTCAGGAACTGTCATTTTGCAACATACAGACTACTGGATGTCTTACTCTAGCTTATGTTTAACTGGCTGTCATTTGCTAATATAAATTCCTTGAAACAGGGCTTTTCCTGCTCAGTATCTTTCCTCCCCACAAATCCCTTATCATTTCAGTAAAATTCTTCAGTAAACAATTAAATGGCTGAAAATACTATTGCTAACTACATTGAAACACATTACATACCAAAATGATAATGATCGTTTACAGGATTTACTTTTTAAAAAATCATTTGAGAGCATCAAACAAGACAATGCAAATTAATATAACAGCTTATGAATTATTAGCTCTTCCAAAAAGCTGTTGATTCAAAATAATATTACAGACTTCTGAGTAATAGTGAATGACTTACTTCTGCAGTGCCTTCCAAGATCTCATTAATGAAATGGACCATATCTTCAGTGCTCTCTATAGGTTTATGAGGTAGGAAATACTGTTGGTTGGATGTGTTCAGGACGACGATACTAGGGATTTTCACATCGCTGAAACCACAAAATTGAATAACTTAGGCATTTAAAAACATTACATAGTTAATGAGGAGCCTAAGATAGGTATAGGTGTGTGTGTGTGTGTGTGTGTGTGTGTGTGTGTGTGTGTGTTTGTAGTGGAATTAAGAATAATAAATTGAAATCTCCTAAACATATAAGTGCACACAGGATCTTTGACTGTGGGAGAATCAAATTCATGGGACTGAAGTGTTTCAACTCCTTTTTTTTTTTTTTTGCTGGAAGGCCATTTCTATCTGCTAATTATTTCTAGAGCTTTGAAGAATCTGCCTAGTGTCCCATCAAACTTCCATCTATATTTGTTTGCAAGGTTTTACAGTCACTTGCAATTTTATTACCTTGGAACTGACCCAGGTCTTGCAGTCTTAATGCTCAAACATTAGGTAATCATGATGTGGAACTAGTTATAACTCAAGCCCAACAAGTGAAGCAAGTTATTATAACTGAAGCCCAGCAAATAAAGCAAGTCATGTGATTCAAGGAAGGATAAAGGATACCATAAAAAACAGTAAAGCATCTTCTTTGAATGATGCTAGTAGATAGCTTTACTACTGTTGCTTACAGCAGAGGTGTGGTTCTATAGATATTGTTCAATTCCATTTACCACCAGCCCTTGTCAGCATTGCTAATGTAGATCTTTTAAATTTTCTGATAGATGGCTGACTCTCCTTACATTACTAGGATTTCCCCCACATAAACCAAACAAATACTGATATGCCTGTCTCGTTATTGCCTAGACCAGTGGTTGTCAACCTGTGGGTCCCCAGGTGTTTTGGCCTACAACTCCCAGAAATCACAGCCAGTTTACTAGCTGTTAGGATTTTTGGGTGTTGAAGGCCAAAACATCTGGGGACCCACAGGTTGACAACCACAAGCCTAGACAGTGTTACAAACTTTAAGCACTGATTCAATTACTCTGCCTCTGATAAAAGATTATGTTTTTTTCCAAAAAAAATAGGTTTTTTTTTTAAAAAAGGGATATTAATTTGTGACTCTGATATGAAAAATTCATTTCCTTTTTCTGTTTTACTGCAAGTTTGAAACTGAGTTGGTCTGTTCACTTTCAACTGAATAATGAAGGTTCTGGAATCAGGCATTAATGGAAAAATTCACAGAAGTAGTTGAGAAATGCTAAAAGATGTGAATTAATATAAATGTTAACAGACATACAGATATCTTGTCTGGCTTGACATGGATCCATATAAAAATATTATAAACTGATCATCGCAGTCTCTTTATGTTAGGATCACAGATGTTTGGTAGCCCTCGATAACATTTTGTCTATACTATTTACAGCTATAGTCAGCATTTCATTTTTAATCATTTTCTGAGTGATATTTGACTGTATTACTTCCTGTACTGAACTTATTTTATAACTTTATGGGGAAAGTGATCTTTATAGAAAGACAGATGGGATTATGTCTTTGCTAAGGGTGTTAAGATACGTCTGTCTCATTCCATCCAAAGAGCTGAGAGCTTTGCAACCCACAAAAGTTTAATTGTGATAATATCACAATAATTCAAGTTCACTGAAGCATCGCCACATATATGCACACCTCAACATGTTTCTGCACAAGTCTTATATCTCAAAGTATACCTGACAGGTTCATTTGCAACTTCTCTTTTTGGCGCCCCATTTATCAGCAATCTTATGCTACCATCTAGTGGGAAAGTGATGCACAAGCTTTATAAATACAGTCTGCTTCAAAAAGATGGATTGTATTTTGTTGTGTAAAGGGAGCAGTACATTGTGGAGAACAAGGATTTGATCTATGGAGGTGGACCTTATATAAAACGCATATAATTAAGTCTGATAGGATGTGTGAACTACACAACTACTACTACAACACAATTTCTGTTCAGTCAATTCCCATGATCATTTCCCGCAGAAACAGCAATTGTGAAGTCACAGGACAACTGTACAGATAATTTATTCCCATGAACACAGCCTCAGGGCAGAACATCTTACTAGATTTGAGTCTAAAAATTTCTATTACCTTTCTATAAATACTTCCAAACCTTTCATAGCAGATATAGAAATAAGAATTTTGAAACAATAGGAACTGCATCACACACAGTCATTATATATAATATGTACTTACTCCATTAGTAAACTATTAATATACTCGTTTCCATCCATGTGGCCAAACTGAAAGTTCCTGTTAACAGATGAAGCTGTCAGTTTAATGTAATTTAAAATGAAAAAAGACAAAGGGGTTGAATTTAAAATGACTAAGGACAATAGGGTTGCACATAAGGTCTCTGATAAGTAAGCAGAAAAGGTTACTTTCCCATTTAAACCTCAAAAGATTAGATAAATGCTATCCCCAGGGAAGGGGAATAGTGTGTTGCATTGTCCTCTCTCTTTTGCCTTCACAAATAAGAACAGCATTAAAAACCCAATATGAAGAATGTAGAATGAGAATTGAGAAAATTTGGCTTTTCTCAGTACATATTTCAGTGCTCCAAAATAGAATTTTAATACTGAGTGCAGAACTGTCCCAGATAAAAGAACACAAGAGCATTCTTAATCAGATCTGGTCTCTGCTGAACCCTTGATAATTTGCACCACAAGTAATTTAGAGCATCCAAGCATCAGTCTTATTTATAGAAAACCCATGGGTGACAACACTTCATTATTATTTTTCTACCTCTTGCATGTAGATCCCAAGGGGTTGTTTTTAGTTTCATTTCAAGTTGAGAAAAATACTACTGTGGATAAATGCAGATATCTATACAATGTAGAACATTATCCCTCCCACGTCTTCTTGAAAAATAAAACATAGAAAGGGATCTTGTCTCCCTCCCATGTTGTATTTTCAAATGCTTGACAACTGTGGTTAAATTAGTAATCTGATTAATTGAGATGAGTACATGTTACAAATATAATTACACAAAGTATTATCATTAAGAGCATTTCCACTTCAGTATCAGTAATTTTGATAGCTACTTGAACATGTCCTCATACTTAGCGAGAGAGCTTACTTTCTATTCAGTTTTGACATTATGAGTTAATCTAGCAGAGAAGAAATATGTGATAGGAAAATGCCATTGAGTAATTAATACCACTGGAGTGCTTTTTAATATGCTGTATCTTACTTTTTATTATCTACAGAGAAAAGCAGGATGCTAACTAAACAACATCGCAATAAAATAAATAAATAAATAAATAACAGCCAGAATAAAATCTAGAACATTTATAGGTATAATTTCAGAATGTAGACAATATCAAAAGACTGAAACTGCAAATTTCGACTTACCTAACAGTAGAACCATTTAACCCAGTGAGAATTATTGAGAGGACTTGTATAAGAATGCATTGTAAGATTTCTACTCTCTCTTAAAATGTGTGTCTTAAAAGCATAAACCCACAATAACCGACTTTCTAATGTCCACAAACACTACTGCTAGAATGTCTACTCTCATATAGGCATATATATATTAGAACCAACTAAAATAATAAATTACAAAATATGGACATGTACCTATTAAAATGGTCTCTGTAATTCCTCGCAACATCCTGAACAATTGACTTCAACCTGGAGGGGGAAAAAAATCATAAATAGTAGGGTGATAGAACAAAATAGCAAAAAGCACAGAAAGGTTTACAATAAATGGCACAAAAATAAAGCCTGTTAATGAAGTTCAAGATGGAACCTGATCACTACATTTGAAATACTTCATAAGCTTGCTGTTTATGGGCCTACCTTTTACTTCTTTTCCTGCCACTATGTAATATGCAAGTATTTATTTACTGAGCAAGACAAGGCAAACACAAAATACAAATTATTGCACTCACATTTGAAGTGAAACAAATTCTGTCACTCCCAGGGGCTGGTACAATTAGGAACAATACTGTATTTACCCGAAAATAGGACACTGTTATATTTATTTTTCCTCAAGAAGACACACTATGGCTTTTCAGGGAATGTCTTATTTTTATTAAGTATGGTACAACAATCTGCATTTATTCAAATATACTGCTGAGTAAAATGGCAGCCACATCTTTACTTCTTCCCCCTGAGGACACACAATACTTAAAGTTCTGCTTCTCACTTCACTGAGAATTCCCAGCAGATGGGCCGAAGAGAAGCAGCGCCGCCAACCGCAGCACCGTTGGTACTGGTGACTCCCTCCCTCTCTCATTCACTCGGGGAGGGAGCCTTGCCTTGCCTGGCCCGAAGGGAAGAAAGAACAGAAGGAGAAGGAGAAAAAGGAGGAGGAGGCAGGATGTGGGAGAGAGGCCTGGACCATTGCAGAAAGTTTTTGCATTTTACTTTTTATGTCTCCCTCTATGCCTCAGCTTGTATAATTATTTATATCTTGTTTTCGGGGTATGGCTTATATTGCACAAATGCTTAGAAATCTGGCTATGGCTTATTGTATTGATATGTCTTATTTTCGGTAAAACACAGTAGTTTTTGAATTCATGCATTTTTTTTTTTACAAAAATCTAGAAACAGGTTTTTAGCTCTCTCTCTCTCCCTATAGGATAATTGAAAAAGGCATATATGACTGAGGAAGAATGCCACCACTCTATCGAGCTTTACAACATTTTATTAAAAAGTGTTTCTCAGCCCACCTATAAAAGTTTTTTCAGGCAATGGCTGGGCTAATGGCTTTCATGTTTCTGTATTAAAAGAACAATTCATACATTGACACTGTTATAGTAAAAATGTGAGCAATGACAGTGATACATTATTTCAAATGTTTTAAAAATACATAGATCATAATGCTCTGATGCAACTAGTGAGTTCAAGTGTGCTTTGAAACATATCCCTTACATCAGCTGGACTAGATTAGTCCAAGTAACTGTATACCCACTAATAAATGATGACCTGATGAATTAAAACATATGTAAATCCATTGATTCAGTCAATCTCTTTTGTACGATCAGCGAGTCTATTATTTGTTTTCAATCTGTGTCTTTCCTTTGAATTAATAGTTATGGAGCTTAATATTTAGTAACAAGCAAATCAGCATATAGATAATTTCATGCAGGATTAAATTCCAGGGATGTAAATTCCAAAAGGATGAGTTGTATATACCTTGTATGATCTGTAGAAGTATTTTTATCATCAATAATTGCGATAGCCACTAGTTTCCCTAGAACAAAACAAGATATAGAACAAAACTTCATTGTTTTAAATATTTGGTCCCCATAAGCATAGAAAATCTATCCAGTAATTCAATAATACATAAATTATCTTGACTGCCCCTTCGAATTTTTGTTATGTTAACTTTGATTTATGGATATCCTAGAGTAGGGTTTTCTTAGCCAGATTTATTCAAAGGAGATTTAACTTTCTTCTTAAGCTGAGTTGCCCTTGGGCTCTTTTCACATAGCTGTATAAAATCCACATTGAATTGGATTATATGGCAGTGTAGACTCACATAATCCAGTTCAAAGCAGATAGTATGGATTATCTGCCTTGATATTCTGGGTTATATGGCTGTGTGGAAGGGCTTTTTATCACACAATAAGTCTCTATAGTTGAATGAGGATTCAAATCATGGTCTCCTTGAATCAAATCAGTACTTCCATCATGGCTTTCACCAGAACCTGTAGACTAGCCATTGAAAATAGAGATCTTGCCCATCCCTCAACATTAAATACTTCATCAAATGATATATCTGACATAAGATAATTTGGAATATATGTTTGCTTTTTAAAGAAAATTGGAGAAACCCACCAATGCAATATCTTTTCCTTTGAATTTGTCCTAATTGAATTCTAGAATATGCCTGCTATATTTTGCTATTTTTGCAATGTGCCTCAAACAATAAACAGATTAGTTCCAACTTTTTACATTTCCACAAAGACTTCTGAGATATGCTTAACGCTTAGTTTTAAATAATGTAGGTGTTTAGCATCACTTCATCAAGATTCCAAAAAGGAAGAGTTTTTGAATGGAAAATAAATATTCACACAACTCTCCAAAATACTCTACATTGTAGCCGACTTGATAAAAAAGAAAAAAATGACCTAGTTTTGAAAACATATTACCTGTGTCTCCGAGTTCATAGAGTGTAAATCCATCTACATTAAGATATCCTTGAAATCTCTCTCTGCTTATCCAGGATGACAGATCTCCATCTTCATATTCTTAAAAAGGAAAATGATACCAGAGAAGGGAATATGTTATTTGCTTTCATTTAAATTTAAGCTATCCACCTTCAAAATCACATATTGCTATTTCACATATTTCAGAAAATAAGGATCACCGAGGTAATATGGAACAGACTGGACAGAGGGCATAACAAAAGAAACCAAAGTTTGAGCAGATAGGATTTGGCATCAATGTATCCACTGCATTCTAAATAAAACACAAGACATGGCAGCAAACAGAAAATTACTTGATCTTTTAAATTCCATTTCTTTTTGATGGAGACAAATTAAGAACCACCATGTTAATTCAAATTCCAACTCTAATTTATACAAGCAATTCCACAGGTTGTTCGGACTGTGGCTGGGTGAGGATGGTTTACAATTGTCCTTTAGTTTAGCATTTGTTCAGACTGCTGTTAATTAATAGGTAGCTAGACTTCAGTATTAGCCAGAGATGTCAGATCTTTACTGCAGGACTCAACCAAACCTGACAAAGCCCTCTACAACAGCTGTGTTGTGCAAGACACTTCTATCTCTACTGTATGTCATGCTAAGAGTGTTGCTGATAGAAGATAGGCAACACCTACTAGCCTTAATATTGGAGGCTGGAAGTAGAATTGAAGGAGATCTCAAAGGAAAGATAAGCAAATATTGCATTGTTTTGAGGTGGAGGGCTGTATTAGAACTCTTTTCAGGTTAAATTCAACACTCAACTGTATGCTATGCTGAACTGCGATACAGATATTTACATGCATTATTATCCAACTGCAGGTCCCCCAACAGAAATGATCTTCTGACATTCCTTTTGCAAGGGCAAGAAAGATCCACCATAATCAGAGTAAGCCTTTTTATTCTGAAAGCTATCAATAAAAGAGCACATTTCCTGAAAGAACAACCAGGAAAATAAGATTCTGACCGTAAATAGAAGGTCAGCTACTGTCCTCTCCTTTTTGCCTTGTATTTTATTCATGTTGTATTTTGAAATGGTCATATGACTAGTCAAATAAATAATAATAATAAAAAAATTATTACTATTAACAACTGTATGCCAAAAATTAAAAGAAGCTTCACTTTTCTATCAATGAATGCTAGGGAAGAAGTCCTCTTTTTTATTCCAAGTATGGTTTTTTAAAGATCTTTTAAAATAATACCAGTTTTAAATCATATTACATACTACTACTATTAAACCAGATTAAATAGTACTTTTGGAAAGGAAATGTAGTAAATGAAATAGCAATAAAAGGAATAAAGAATTTCAGTGGCAAGATCCGCCTAGTCAAAGCCATGGTATTCCCTGTAGTAACCTACGGATGTGAGAGCTGGACCTTAGGGAAGGCTGAGCGAAGGAAGATCGATGCTTTTGAGCTGTGGTGTTGGAGGAAAGTGCTGAGAGTGCCTTGGACTGCGAGAAGATCCAACCAGTCCATCCTCCAGGAAATAAAGCCCGACTGCTCACTGGAGGGAAAGATACTAGAGACAAAGTTGAAGTACTTTGGCCACATCATGAGGAGACAGGAAAGCCTAGAGAAGACAATTATGCTGGGGAAAGTGGAAGGCAAAAGGAAGAGGGGCCGACCAAGGGCAAGATGGATGGATGGCATCCTTGAAGTGACTGGACTGACCTTGAGGGAGCTGGGGATGGTAACGGCCGACAGGGAGCTCTGGCGTAGGCTGGTCCATGAGGTCACGAAGAGTCGGAGACGACTGAACGAATGAACAAACAAACAAAACGGAGCTCTTATGCAGAACTGGTCTTTGAATCTGTAAGTCAATTATGACTTAAGAATAAGCTGGTGTTACAAATTATCTGAACATCCAGAATACACCTTAGTAAAACAGTATGGACTTTTCAAAACATATTATGATACTGGAAGAACCTGATTTGAAGGACTATCTGTGATTGAGGCATATATGCCGCATGTAACCGTCAAGAGTTGTATGCATTTTTGAATCCCTAAATGTAAAAGGTCAATCTGCTGGCAAGCATAGCTTACCAATTTTTAGGAGTGAAGAACATCATATTTGTTTAAACCAGCATTTCAGGGGAATAAAAGTAAAATTGATGCATATTAGTGGCATATTACTGCACTTTCAATCAACTATGCCCTTGAACATACCGTCGTAAACGAAGTACGTTCCATCTTTAAAGACAAGGACAGCAGGCATCTCAGGAAGTGTCACATGCTGAAAGATATTGAAAAAGAAAAAAATAAAATTATTTCATGAAGCATAAATCAAACTTCCTGGACATATCTGAATTTCTCAATTTATCTGTATTCCACCACCTAGCTTTCTATCATTTGTTCATATTAATGAGCACATTCATGAAACTGAATAAAAACAAACAGCAACAATTTACTTCTTCCATAAAAGTGCTGTGGAACTTTCTACCAAGATATTCTGTTTTTAAAATAAATTAGGTGGGGTTTTGGTTTTTTTGAGCTGACTGATGGGTTCTTTAAATTTATGGCTTATTTTAAAATTCACATGAATTTTTTTCTCTTGGTATTTTGGTTTTTGGGCCTGTTCCTGGAGTTATTTGGAGCACTGTGTTGTTGTAGGTTTTTTTGGGCCAGTTTAAACCACAGTGTCTCCTGTGGGTTTAAACCCATTGTACATACTGTTCTTAATTCTTTTTTAATTATTAGAGTATGAACTTTTTAAAAAGTAGCAAAAAGGGGGAGATCCCAAGACAACACACAGGCAAGATGTTCCCTTGAGTAATTAAAATAGACTCTTAGTAACTATTCATAAAGCCCTGAGGGCACAGTAAAGTCACCAAAAATACTTATAACAAAAACAACTGAACTATGCTGCCACAGAATTCACACACAATGAATTTTCAAGCTTTGTCTTAAGGCCCCTTCCCTATAAAAAATACTAATGAGAAAAACTGCCACCACTGTAGCCATCTTAAAGATGGGATAGAATTTTTGTAATATCAAGACAAGATGTTATTTATTCATCAGTAAGCATAATATTAAAGTATAGACATGTAAACCATATTAAATGTGTCTAGAAACAGAATTAGAGAAATCATTTTCATCCAGTTGGTTAAATGCAGTGTGCTTATAAATTCTTTTCTTTATTTGTTTGACAGTTTAACTTACAATATACCATTTTTCTAATGATTTTTTAAAAAAATACCTAATTTTCAGATGACATCATGAAAACTTAGGAATCTGCTGTTCTCCAATTTGTTCTGTTAATCAGCAATCCACATTCATGAATATGATCCCACAAAAAGGCCAAATATCTATTTTATTGTTCTTTTTAAAAATAGGAAAGATCTACTTTGGATCTGCAACTAAGACTGACAATGTTGTTTATTCGTTCAGTCGCTTCCAACTCTTTGTGACCTGACAATAATTTTCCACAAAAACCTAGTAAAATAAGAATCTTTTAGTCTGCCTTCAAATGAACTAAGATTTTAGAGACCTACCCAATTCAAAATGCACCAAAACATAGCTTTTTGAATAGAAATATAAAGCAGAGCAACACAAATGAGTGAAAAATAATTGCAATTTCAATCCACATTAAAAGAAAGCTAGTATTTTACTCCTCACATTTCAATAACTCTATGTCTCTACTAGACACAATGAGAAATCATGCTTAGAATCAGCATCCTCCATCTTCAATGTTCCAGCAAAACATGTGATCTTCAAAATATATACATGTAATTGAGATTCTTAACTCCAGATGGTATAAGATTCACATCTATGGAATCATGATGCTTTTAAATGTCAATGATGTCTTCCCACTTAGTATATTTTCAGAAAGATTATGTCTTTTGCTGGAAAGCAGCTTTAGGTATTTCTCGTTGAAGACCTTGTTAGGTATAACAGCTCGGATTGGCAAAATACCACTTTTGCCCAACCATCGTAAAATCTAGCAGTAGCAGTAATAGCGTTTTTCTTAACAATTTCTCAAGCAAATAATTACCTCTGGTAATACCTCTTCTGAGGCAGAAAAAAAGTATGTATAAACAATTAGTTCGGAAGCAACTTCTATGTATTTTTCCTGTGGAAATACAAAGAGATATTTTTAAGCGGTTTCTCAGTCTCCATATATACTCAGATCTTACAAAACAATACATAATTTGCCATATTATGTTACTGTTACATCTGCTAAGAGCATGTTCTAGCAAGAAAGTTTAAAAATGACCTTATATTTCTAATATATTCTAGCATGGTATTCTGATTATTTTCCCTGACTCCCACTGCAAAGATAAGTATTCCTGTGCTGTTCCTAAACATCATAATGCAATTTTTACAATACAAGTATTAAACAAATTGCTACATTCTTGCAGTTTATGCTATGGTTCTAGCATTTCATATAAAAATCTGCCAGCCTATTTTTCTCCAATTAATTTTGTAAGATGTTATTATTTCTTTAAAAAAAGAAAAAGAGAACAATTTATTCTCCTACCATTAAAATGTACAGCAGGATCTTTGTAACTCATATCTTTGGTTTCACTTTCCCACATCCAGGGAACTATGTTCTTCCTAGGAATTTCTAGGTTCTCCAATGCAATTTTAGGGTATGCTGGGACCAGATATTTTAATAGGGTTGGGTCATATCCACAGTTTCAGGTCTGGCCAAGAATACCGTATAGTTCTGCAGATTTAGGGGTCTTACTGTATCTAGTTTGTTACACTGTGCCTATTTTAAATTCTATCATATTCAACCTAAACGTTAATATGTATGCATAACACAACAAAAGATTTAGGGCTCACATTCCTACTACTTGAGCAGTTTTATTAGGTAGCAAGTATTAAAATTTTGATTAGCTTGGTACCAAGCAATACACATTTTTAAAGATATATATTTAGTGGTATTTCAGACCTTCAATGGGGATTCCCCACCAACGTACAGAAAAAAAACACGATTCCTCTTCTGCACATGATCAAACATTTGCTGGCTAGGGAGTGGTCTTATAATAGGGCTGAGAAACAAAAGAAAAAGTTGATTACTATTAGAAAGGTAAAAGAATGGAGCAAGTGACTTTCCTAAAATTCTATTATTACAGAACTGGTAGGATTTTTATAGAACTGTGGTTTCAACATTTTTACAGTTGGGAGAATAAATAACACTAGTGATGGATCATGCCAGATAATCTAAACAAAATGTATAATCAAGTGAAAATAATTCCATTTTATATGAGTAGATGTGTCTATAGCCGCCAAAAATTGGAAATGACTTGAAGACACACAACAATAAAATGTATACATTAGATTCTGCTAACTTCATATACATGCATTATCAATTGCTATGTTTCATCATGATTTAAAACTAAAGAAATATACTTTCAAATATCACATTGTTATATTCCACATATAACAATATAATGGAATAATCTGAGAAGCGGTTAGAATAACAGTAGAAATATAGCTCAAAGGTATTAATGCACCTTTGCCTTGGGAAATTTTAAAGATTTGCTTCAAAAAATAAAAGCTTACCAGAATTTACTTCAATCTGATATCCAAGAGTTGTTAGCAAGAAATATAGAACCCTACCCTGCCTTAACCTATTCATCATCTAGTTTTACAATTGCATCGTTACTGGAGTTAATACAGAATAACTGACGCAATTTATAATAATAATAATATCAAAATCTAAGATATATCAGCATATACTGCTTTCTCTTGTACATTATGATACTGAACCACCTTGGATGAGTGAACACCATAGAATTCATTGTTCAGGCTCCTCTGTAGTCCTATGTTTTATAAAATAGTGCCAACTGACATTTCACACAAACTGAATTCAAAGTCTTTAAATACTTACCCTGCTACTCTGTTTGCAAATTCAACAATATCTTCCTTGGTCCTAGGGCCTCTATAGTTGTATGCCAAGTCACCCTTTAGCCTAAATAAAACAACAGTAAACATCTTGTGTGAATCAGCATGTTCAATAAAGGACAACCAAGAAGAAAAGGTGAATCTCACGAACGTTTTTAGAAACATGGTATTGCAATGTATTTCAGAAGCATTATTACACAGGAAGCAAGAAGTATACAGCATGGTAAAACTGAGTTACTTTTCATAGTGCCCGTTAGCTTTCAGCAGAGGCAAGAGGAAGGAAGCAGATTAGAAAAGAACACCAGCTTCCACAGAAGATACTGGAAACACTACAAGGTATTGACAGGTTTATATACAAGCTGAAGATTCCACTTACAATTTAATTGTTGGATAGCCTCGAACTCCAAATTCAGAGGCAATACCTAAAGAAACAAGTGTAATTAACAATGAAAAGGGATGATTTTACTGATTATATTTCCTAAATATTTCACTAGCATGTATGTGAAAACAAATATGGTACATAGCATCAATTATATACATTATAACACTATCAAAACACATGGTTTATGATAGAAAAATACTATTTGAGGGAATGCTTATCAGGTTGAAGTATATGTTAGCTACTTCCTACTGCAAATGATAATCAGAGACCTTATCCATTCACCCACTGAGTTTCTGTTTTTAATTACACCTAACACACACACACACACATTGTTTGATAGTTTTTCTGAGACATCCAAGTATCATTATTCTAATACGGATGAAAACATTTCAACAGAGAACTTACTAGAGTAAGAAGTTGCATCCATTTTTCCAACTTTAACTGGAGAACCAATGCTCCCCATCTCTTTACCAACTTCATTCCACACTGGCTCCAGTTTTTTGCAGTGGCCACACCAAGGTGCATAGAACTAAGAGCAACCAAAGACAAGCAGTCAGAAGAGTATTCACAGCTTTAAAAAGAAGCTTGAGTAGTGGGTACTGCTCCATCATCAGGGCAGAGGCCATTAGGGGGGGGGGGGCTAGAGAGAGAAAGCTAGTCCATTTTGGGGGGGGGGATTGAAGGAGGAAAAACATTTCCCCCATATTTGTTGGTTATTCCCACTTCCCATGTTATAAACAAGGGTGATTTTCACCACAGGGATTTTTTTTTGGGGGGGGGGAGAGGGATTAACAGAAAAACAGGGGAAATTGTTTTCCTCCTTCAATCCACCCTCCCCCAGTAAAATGGACTATCCTTCTGTCTCTAGCGCCCCCTAGTGGGTTCCATTCAAATAATGGAACAGTACTGAAACTTGTAACTCTTCAGATTACATTCAAAAACATCCCAACATCTTAACCAGGAGTCAGGGGTGGTGGGAGTTTTATACTGAGTGCACATGCAAACCTAGATGCTCCCTTCCCATTCTGGAGATATGTTGTCACATATGCATTTGGAAGTTTCAGGCAACATCTGCCTGGGACTTCTGCAAATTCAGTTCCCTTATTTCAGAAGACCCAACCAAACAGGGATACATATGGCTGCTAATGACCAATAAGGGTAATTAAAGGCAGATAGTGAGAAGAGTTTCATTAGTAGCATGTGAAGAATTGTGAAATACATTTATAGAAAAATAGAAGAGCTAAATAGTTATAGATTTCCCCTCTTTTTGGATCTCCAATCAGACTTTGCATCCCAGGAAGTTTTTGCCACTTTCCAGTTATCCTTATCTTGATCATCCTTGAAGTTATATTAGTCATATAATTATACAGGGTTAGTCAAAATGAATAGGCCAGTAAGAAAATTAATTTTAGACGAATGTATGTTTATTGTAACCAAACTACAGCTACGTAGCGACAGATAAACTATCAAAGTTTTGTCTCACCTTCAGAGATGTTCGATATGGGCGCCCCGTGTGACACGGCAGATGTCCAAGCGATAGTCCAGTTCATTCCACATCCGTTGCAGCACATCCGACGTAATGGCATCGAATGCAGCAACGTCTGGGAAGGTGTTCGTTGAGGTCCTAACCCTAACCCTAACCCTAACCCTAACCCTATCCCTAACCCTAACCCTAACCCTAACCCTAACCCTAACCCTATCCCTAACCCTAACCCTAACCCTAACCCTTGAAATTCTCGCTGGACCGTAATTACTGACATTGTTTTAGCAAATGTCATCACACAAAACGCCTTCTCTTTGCTTGATTCCGCCATTTTGAAAACAGCGACCCTTAGCGACGCCTAGCGGCATTAACGTACATGTGTGTTGCTCAAAAAAAACTTTGATAGTTTATCTGTCGCTACGTAGCTGTGGTTTGGTTACAGTAAACATACATTCGTCTAAAATTAATTTTCTTATTGGCCTATTCATTTTGACTAACCCTGTATAACAAGGAGCTGATGTCATGTATTATAAACATTTGACAATATACAGCAGGCTTATCTCATCAGTAAACTAGAAAATAGTATTACTGTTATCCATAAAAATTACATCTTCCTCTCAATGTTCCTGATCTATAAGACAATCAATTGTGTGCATGTATGTGTGTCATATTGGGAACCAGTAAGACTTGCATGCATATCAGTTGGAGCACGAGACATTTCTAACTGTTCCTCGACCAAACTGACGGAAGTTATATTGAGGATCATGCTTATTAGTTCTGGAATGCAACACTAACTATTGATTCCTCTCCATTCCTTTTCCCTTGGTACCAGGTTCCTCCATAAAGCCTCAAGGTCCATGATCATATGGGTGTGGATGAGTAAGTTTATGGTAATTTTTGTTTTAGGTGACACAATTAAACTATAATACTTACATCTACAAGCCAGATATCATCTTTACGGTTCTCTTTAAACCTAAGAAAAAATGTAACAAGTAAAGAAGGCTTCACAGATAGAGGCATCTTTATACTGCATATATCATTCCATCTGATAAAGTGGTTTTCACAGAACTACAAGACGTGATCCCAGCAGTCATTTTTCATGTGGCTTATTTAGGATTTTTTGCAACCAAGACTACCGCTATTACCATTGTAACAGGGAGGAATACTTCTAGGCAAACAAGTTGTGTCATCTGATAAATGACATGCTCCAGAACAAGGAATCCTTAATTAGTTCACAGCTGAAGGAGTTAAAGTGAGACTTCTTTCAGATCCAAGTCAAGGTGTCTCCTCCAATCATTTTGTTTGTCAGTTTCAAGTCAAGGTGCCCCCACTAATAATCTAATTATATTAGATGTCTTTAGCATTAGCATCTATGTTACAGAATTATTTCTGAAATGATAATCTGTCAAGCCAGATTTTTAAATATATGGATACATAATTAAAGCAATGTTAGTAAGTTTATTTATTAGTCCATGAAGTGTTGCATAAAGCTAGCAAAATGATTTAAACATTTTGCTAGCTTTATGCAACACTTCATGGACTAATAAATAAACTGTATCAGCTAAGCAAAGTTTCTGAAGCAGCAAGCCAAATTGAAATTTTGGTGCAATCCCTCCTTAATTTCAAAATTAATTTGCTGTAAAGAAGTACTGGCCTCAGTGTCTAAGTAGAACCATGAGGAAGAACATGAATTACCACATTTTAAGTCATTTTAACACTATGAAACAACTTTATGGACAGTGTCTATATTTTTAATTTTGTACAGTGTTATGAGCAGTAGTATTATTAATTTATATATGATAGCTTCCACACTTGCATGCATGATTCTCGTTCATGAGATACTCTTATTTCTTTCACTTTTTAATTTATGTTTTATGCCAACTCTAGAAAACACTAAAATGTGTACAGCATATGTCATATATGAGGTATGCTGACAGTAAGTCAAATTATAGAAAAAACACTTCCATTTATCCATCCCTTATCAGGAATTCCAAAGTCCAAAATACTCCACAATTTTCCATATGAAACCCTTTGCTTTCTGATGCTTCAAGGTACACAAACTTTGTTTGATGCACAAAAGTATGAAAACAATATTGTGCATAGAAGCATCTTTGAGTTCTGTGGGCCCACAGAGTTTTTGGCTCTATGTGCTCCCTAGAAGTCAAAACTCAATTGAATGATCTCTAACATACCCTCTTAGGGGACATCTTGGGGCAACATTTTTTTAAAAAATGGAAGATGCTCTGGAGCACATACAGATCATGTTTTAATATATCCAAAGGTAAAATTTACAAAAGAAACACTGCATACTTACGAGTCATCTAAGTCTTGCACATAAGAAGCATCTACAACAAGTATGACTGCAGTAACTACCAAGAGAAAAGGGAATAGAAGAGAAAAAGAAAGTAAGTTCTGGTCTACACAACAGGCTTACATACATCAATACAACTATCAATCGGTTTTTCAGCTCTCCTGAAATTGTTTTCTACATGAACATGCCGTCTAGGCGAAAGATAACAGCATACCAGTGGTTACATGCAGAACATACAACACACACTTTTCCTATGAGAAGAAAGAACGAGATGGGACTCATATTGTTAATTTTAACTGTAGCAAGTAGATCATTGTCCCCAAAGATTAGCAGCACTATGTCTAGAGGGATAGTGCTGGTATCCAGGTAGATGAAAGTAATTACCATTTCAATAAGAAGCAAATGCTGAACATTTTTCACTTGTTCATCTGCAATTCCCACCTCAGTGAAAAGAGCTGAATACCTGCAACCAAAATCCACACACACAACAATGGCAAGCAACTGGACATGATACAGTAGCTGCAGCCAGGTGACTTTGGATGATCCTACCGAATCCTTTCTCTCAATCCCAAAGCTGATAAAAATAAATAAGCACGTTCCTGTTGTCTTTGTCTCTATAGTCATTCTCCGTGAGCAGAAAGGCAAATACGTGGAACTACGATTTGCCCAGGCCTTCCAGCTATATAGAGTATCTACGATCCAGAGACAGAGAGTAGGTCAACAAGAGAAGTCAGAAGCTGACTGTTTTGTTAGTTTGCATTTTTCTTTTGGGAACTCCAGGAAGGGAGACCGGGGATCTATTCTACATCAGATAAACTTCTGACTCTTTACAATGGGAAAAGATTTGACTTCAAATAACAGCCCTCACAATTTCTGATCTGCCTTTATTCTCAGGGTGGCTCTATCTGGTCATTCATCTCTTCTTCTAGAGAAACAATAAAGAGGATTAGATCTAGTCTAAATCTCCTGAATGAGATGAATGTTGTTGGGTTTTGTTTTTTGCTGTCCCTACATTGCAAAATAGGTAAGATGGCCTGAATCATCTTTCTGTTAAACCACAGGATGTGTGTGTGTGGAAATGTAGGTACATAAATAAGCACGGCACTACCACTCCAGCCCCTTCCACAGAGAAGGTGAACTAGTAAAAGGAGATCACGGCAACCATCAGCTCTTTTCTTCCACGTGTTCTTCCTTAGAACCTCTACTAGTTAGAATTCTCCCTGGTGTGCCAGGTTGGGAACAAAGCATAGGCAAGAGAACCCTTCCTGGCTCATCTGTATGCTTCTTGTAAACCAGTGATAGTTGGCTTTCCAGGTACTTTCCCCTACAGGTCCCACTAGTCCCAACCAGGATTGCAAATGGTAAAGAATTGTGAGGCTTTAGTCCCAAATGCCTTGAATGCCAAAGGCTGTGTAGTACAGTCAACTCTTGGCAAGATAGCAAGTGGATATATAGTGACAACTTTGGCACTTACTCCCATGCTTTCACATTTCAGCACTCAGCTGCTGTCTGGTAACATTTGCCTCAGAGCATTGGCCATGTGCAAAAGAAAAGGGCATGGTTGCCACACTGAGAACTTCATCATCATCACCACCACCATACCCACCATCAATGTACCAGGCACTTTACAAATAAACTAACAAAAAACAATGGCTCCTGCCAAAGGGGTAAAATCTAGAATGTATGTATAGCCAGCCCTCCTTATCCACATGTTCAGCATCCACTGATTCAATCAACCAATGCTTTCAAATATTTGGGGGGGGGGGGGACATTTAAGCAAGCAAACCTCCAGTTTGCCATTTTATATTTATTTACTAATTTACTATATTTATATCCTGTCCCTCTCAGACTGCGTATAAGGGACACCATTTTATATAAGAGGCACCATAAATAGGATGTACAAAATAATAAAACAATATTAAACTAAAATTCCAAAACCATTGGAAAACCACAAGATGTTTGAATTGAGCTTTTAAAATGAGTGAAGCAGCATCCTGTAAATGTTAAAGGAGGCAATTCCAAAAAGCCAAGCCAAAAAGAAAAAGAGGGTAAGCTAACAGAGCATTGAAATATGCTGGTGCACCCCCCCCCCCCATCCCTCCACACATATACAAACACACACGTTTTGTTAACCAGAACTCAAGCAACTAAAACTCTCAAACTAAAACTCTCAAACAACCAGTAAAAAAATCAAAACAATTACTTCAAATAAAAAGGTGTTTTTTTTAATACGGTAAAATAATAAAACTGTGTTCCATTAAGTTTGTCTTCATTTGCTTTTGATTGCTGTATTTCAATATTAATACCAATTCAATACAGTTTATGGTATGGTGTACTATGGGGTATACGATTAGTTGGGCCTGTTTTTAATAGTAACTCTCAAGCAACCAGGAACTGCGTTTATCTCCCATGGGTGCTTCCATACAGCCATGTAACTCAGAATATCAAGGCAGAAAATTCCATAATATCTACTTTGAATTGGGTTGAGTCCACACTGTCATATACTCCAGTTCAAAGCAGAAAATGTGGGATTTTATTCAGCTGTGTGGAAGGGCCCCAGAGCCACTGTGATGCAACCTTTGTAACACAATGTCACCTCAGTCTCAAAATATTCATTTCCAGGATTGAAAATATATGTTCAAAGCTCTGGCCCCATCTACACTGGCATTATATGGTCAGTGTAAAAATAATATAAACTGCAACACCTCAGAGTCAACCAAGTGCGGGCAAACTTCGGCCTTCCCCCTGGTGTTTTGGACTTCAACTCCCACAATTCCTAACAGCCTACCGGCTGTTAGGAATTATGGGAGTTGAAGTCCAAAACACCAGGGGGAAGGCCGAAGTTTGCCCACGCCTGGGCTGTTAGGAATTGTGGGAGTTGAAGTCCAAAACACCAGGGGGAAGGCCAAAGTTTGCGCACGCCTGGTCGACACTGACCATATAATCTCATTTCAACAGTAACAAATCATTGGATAGAGTGTATCTGAATACAGGTGGTAGCATAATATGCAACCTGGCCATGAATCAAGTGTAAGTACCCCCTACTTTTAAATAATAATTTCCTAGAAAATCCAGCTTCCGTCTCTGTTAAGCAGAGGTCGCAACACAGATTGAGCTCTCAGGTGGGTCGAGTCACTGCGAGGGATGTCTAAAGAGACAGCTCAGGGCAGCGATTCTAGTCCTCCAGGAGTTTGGGACTTCAACTCCCAGAAGCCTCAGCTGCCTTGGCCAAAGAGCAGGGATTCTGGGGGATGAAGTCCAAGCCAGCGAGGGACCAAAGGGGGCTGAGGGAAAGCGCCTCAAAAGAAGCACACTTCCTGTCGCCTTCGCTTTCACGCAAGCGGCCCTTCCCTCCTCCGGAGAGAGGAGGCGCCCCCTCCTTCCCCCCCCCCCCCCGCCTCTCCCTCCTCCACCCGAAGGCCAAAGCACTTTCCCCCGCGGCGGGAGGGTGGCTGGGTGAGGGCGGCGCGAGTACCTGCTGCCCACAGGAGGCTCCTCCGCCCTCCCCTCGCGGCTCCCATGGTACTGGCGGCCGCCGATGGACCAGGCCGACCGCGAGCCGGAAGGGGAAGCGGCGCCGGCGCACGCACCCCTCCCAACCTCGCGCCGCTCCACAGAGCATGCGCCGGGCTCCAGCGGTTGCTTCGCCTGTTAGGAAGTGGGAGGGGCCGTTGCCAGGCAACCCGCTCGGCCAGGCCTGTCAACGAAGGAGGCTCTTCTGACTCAGGCGGGACGCTTGGTCAGCCATGTCTCCCCGCTTGCGGCCCCGTGAAGAGGCTTCACCCCCATTTATGGTGACCCACGAGGCATAAAATATAACCACTAGCCTTCTCTCCCTCTCTTTGGATGGAAGTAGAATAACAAGTTAAGCCAGCTGGTCCCATCTGGAAGGGGAGGCACCCCAAATTGCCCTCAACCTCCTTAGTGGTTACCTAGGCCTCTTCCACACAGCTGAATAAAATCCCATGTTATCTGCTTTGAACTGGAATTTATGGCAGTGTGGGTAATAGTATGCTACCTGGGTCTGGAAGCGCCGAGCGTTACGGAGATGCTGCATCGCTCCTTCGGGAGCGCTGTTTGCGCAAGAGAGACTTAGCTGATGTAAGGCAGGCCGGAGACAGATAATATAGAAGGAATATAAGAGTTCTTTAATGGTGAAACCCTTACCCTAAACCGTACCGTAAGCCTAAGCCTAACCCCTTCCCTTACCCAAACCCAAAACCTTGCCCTAACCTTTACACTAACCCAAAACCTAAACCTTACGCTAACCCTAAACCGTACCGTAAGCCTAAGCCTAACCCCTTACCCTAACCCTCACGCTGACCCAAACCCTAAACCTGACCCTAACCCTAAACCATACCCTAACTGTAATCCCTAACCCAAACCCTAACCCTTAAACTAACCCAAACCCTAAACCTTACCCTAACCCTATACCGTACCGTAAGCCTAAGCCTAACCCCTTACCGAAACCCTAACCCAAACCCTTACCCAAACCCTAACCATTACACTAACCCTAAACCATACCCTAACCATAATCCCTAAACCGTACCGTAAGCCTAAGCCTAACCCCTTACCGAACCCTTATGCTAACCCAAATCCTTAACCTTACTCTAACCCTTACACAAGCCCAAACCCTAAACCTTACCCTAAATCTAAACTGTATCCTAACCGTAACTCCTAACCCTTACCCTAACCCAAACCCTAAACCTTACCCTAACCCATACCGTAAGCCTAAGCCTAACCCCTTACTCAAACCCTAACTCAAACCCTAACCCAAACCATAAACCTTACCCTAACCCTTATACTAACCCAAACCCTAAACCTTACCCTAACCTTAAACCGTAAACCCTACCCCAAACCCTAAACCTTGCTCTAACCCTTACACTAACCCAAACACTAAACCTTACCCTAACCCTTACACTAACTCAAACCCTAAACCTTACCCTAACCCTAAATCGTACCGTAAGCCTAAGCCTAACCCTTTACCCTAACCCAAACCCTTACCCAAACCCTAAACCTTACCCTAACTCTAAACCGTACCCTAACCGTAACCCCTAAGCAACAGGATCCCCCTCCCCATTTATGAAGCTACTTATTTGTATTATTTATATTCCTCTTTTTCTCCCTTAAAATATACCCAAATTCACTAATTGTTGGGATTCAACCTCACACTACCCAAGTCTCAAATCCTCAACGAGGAGCAGTTAGTTAGCTTTAGAGTAGTCTTAGACCCGTCGCAAACTAGGTTCCTGCGGGAGCAAACCTTGCTAGCACGTCCCTGACGTCATGAGACTCCGCCTCTCGCCCCGCCCCTTTCTCCGCCTCTTTCTCCGTGCGAGAGTGGTTTTTCCTTTGCTAGGGCAGCATTGCCAGCGTACTTTCTCAGTTGGCAGAATTCAACTGAGAGAAAATGCGGGCAATGCTGCCCTAGCAAAGGAAAAACCACGCTGGCAAAGAGAAAGGGGCGGAGAAAGGGGCGGGGAGAGAGGCGCAGGCTCATGACGTCAGGGACATGCTAGCAAGGTTTGCTCCCGCAGGAACCTAGTTTGCGGCAGCTCTAAGGGTTTCCCTTCCTCTGAGTCTCCAGAATACAGTTGGGGATGTATCTTCTTCTCTCTTCTTGCTCTCATGGTTGTTTAAAATGGATACTTTTCTACTGCAGGTCTTTTTTGAATCGGACTTCTGTTTTCTTACACTTTTGTATGGAGAGTATGTGCTATGTGCTTTGAGATCTCTTGCTACTTATGTGTTAGGAGAGTTGTAGTAATTGAGTTTTTCCCTCTCTTGAAACATTAGAAGAGATGGGTGTTAGAGTAGCTCAGACCCAGTTCTTGATTATTAAGAAATGCAGCTATTTTTAATTATTATAAATAAAACTTTTGTGATGTTTTAAGATTGGACTCTGCATGTTTGGCTCCTAAGCCCTTAATTTTTACAGGACCCCCCCCACCCCCACCCCGGGTGGTTGTTGTTGTTGTTGTTCATTCGTTCAGTCGTCTCCGACTCTTCGTGACCTCATGGACCAGCCCACACCAGAGCTCCCTGTCGGCCGTTACCACCCCCAGCTCCCTCAAGGTCAGTCCAGTCATTTCAAGGATGCCATCCATCCATCTTGCCCTTGGTCGGCCCCTCTTCCTTTTGCCTTCCACTTTCCCCAGCATAATTGTCTTCTCTAGGCTTTCCTGTCTCCTCATGATGTGGCCAAAGTACTTCAACTTTGTCTCTAGTGGTGCAATGGGTTAAACCCCTGTGCCGGCAGGACTGAAGATGACAAGTCGCAGGTTCGAATCTGGGGAGAGTATGGATGAGCTCCCTCTATCAGCTCCAGCTCCTCATGTGGGGACATGTGGGACATCCTTGTGGGAGAAACCTCCCACAAGGATGGTAAAAACATCATAAACTTACATAAAGCTAATTCTATATTATGATGCACTAATTGGTTGTTTCATTGCACATGTTTATGTATATGTATATTTATGTATATTATTATTTCCTGCATTTGTACCCCCCCCCCCTCTCATCCCTGAGGGGGGGCTCAGGGTGGCCTCACAGCAAGCACCATCCGGTGCTGTCACAATTATAAACATTCAACAATACAATTAAAAGCATTGAACAATTAATTAAAACAGTTAATTAAACAAATAACTAAAAACAGTCAGTTAAACAATCAATTAAAACAATTAAAATCTGGGTCAATTCATTATCGCAAGTTGCTTAAATCTTCTTCCCACATTGCTGCTATTTCGTGGTTGAATGCTTGGTTCCATAGCCAAGTCTTGAGTTTCCTTCTAAAAGACAGGAGGGAGGTGGTCAGTCTGATGTCCCTGGGGAGGGAACTCCACAGACGGGGGGGGGGGGGGGGACTGCTTTGAAAGCCCTGCCCCTCGTCTCCACCAATCACGTTTGCGATGGCGGTGGGATTGAGAGCAGGGCCTCTCCAGATGATGTTAGACTTCGTGAACGTTTGTAACAGAAGATACGTTCGGACAGGTAAACTGGTATACGCATAGACATATATATATATATATATATATATATATATATATATATATATAGTTTTGAATAAAATGTTTGCTGAAACATATTAACTGTTTTGTTTGTTAGTAAGAACCTATCCCTATACTTTCTATATTATCTGAACTCTAATCAGGAACTCTCTCCCATTGGAGATTAGAACTGCCCGTTCCCTCCTGACCTTTAGAAAGTTGGTGAAAACCTGGCTTTGGAATCTGGCATTTGATGAGTGAGGCAATGGCTTTTGACCACACAGACGGATGGGGATGAATAGTGATTTTTATGCTAACAACTTGGCTTTATATAATTATATGATAGTACTTTAATGTGTTTATATTAATGTATTATTGATGTGATGTTTTTAAACTATTGTGTATGAATCCTCTTGTTGTAAACCGGCCTGAATCCCTCGTTGGAGGTGAGAAGTATATAAAAGTTCTAAATAAATAAATAAATAAATAATACTCCATTTTCTGTTAAAAAAGTAATGCCCAGGGGCATATGGACTTCCTTAACTGATATTACTTTGTATTTATCTGGGAGTAAGTTCCATTCTGCTCAATGGGATTTACTTCTTAAAATACTTGTGCTGTTTTCTCCTTTAAATTTGGCCCCACCAGCACTGCCGTATAATGCAGTTTGAGACTACATTATATACTTAGTGTAGACTCATGTGTTTTACAGAGAGCAGATTCTCTGTAACTCCACAATTCCTACAAATAGCTCAACGTTTCTTCATAAAGGTGTTGAAAACATACAAAGGGACAGTGGTGAGATTACTGTTTCATCCAATATCTCCAAAATGGCTAGATTTGCAGTCAAATTCCATGGTGTATGCCCATGCCACTGCCCTTGGTATACATACAAAAAATACTAATACTACATTGTATTTATTACCCACCTCTTCTAATGGCTCAAGGCAAGGTACAACATGGTTAAAACAGTCAAATACAACACCATTAAAATGCATATATCAAAATATGCACCACAAAGACTGACACCAATAATATATTTTTAATTACCCACCTCAACGGCATTAATCACATTCTACATAACAATTTTTGTGTTTTCCTCATCCCAACTACTATTTGTAGGCTGATATAGCAACACCAGACCGCACAATATCAGATCCTAAGGAGGATTGTGAGGGACACATAAAAAGGTCTGGTACATTTAACTGCTCAATAATTAAACTTTATGTGAAGGTGCTCTTGTACAGGAATGACTGCAGGTGCATCATATAAAGAAGAGCAGTAAGATCTAGAAAAGTGTCAAGTTATCTAATATGAGGAATTGCCATTTTTACCTTCAATGTGCCAAGGATCCTTTGCAGCCCTTGGCTACATTTTATATGATTCTTTACTGGATGTTCATTAAAGGCCAGAGCCATTGGCTTGTAAACCAGCCCAAATCCCTGGAGCAACACTATATAGCACAGCTCTGGGATATTGTTCATAAAGTATCATGGCCTTTCTTTCTTGGAAAGAAAGCCAAAACAAGGGATACTACACACTAAAATTTGTCTCAAGGGCAAGACAACAAAGAAGTAAGAACGCAGTGAAACACCTGTCCAGCCTT